TGGAGCATTATAAACATATACAAACACTGAAATGCACTAATGATACACATCTGAGGGCTTTCTTAGGCAGGATACCTGATAGCCAGTAGCCTTTCCCAAGAAGCAAAGGATTCTTATTTGATTAGGAACTAAGATTAGGAACTAAGAAATACGTTGTAAATTAACTGAAAAAGTGTTACAATAAATGCTATGTGAACTTAAAAGTTATATAAAAACAGTAATGTCCCAAAGGCACATTAGCATAGTGCCAAGTAGACATTCAGTTTGTGGAGAGGAACATTACAGGTGCTTGGGCCTTACCAGCCCAAATACCACAGTAACCTGTGGTGGTTAGAGTGTGCTCTAGTAAGTGCCTACAAAATCATCATTTGCAATTAATGCTGAAATTCAAGCCACCAGTCTGCACATCTATAAGATACCTACCTAATTTATTTTGGTTTGGCTTGGTTCGGGGAGGGGGAGAGGTTGGTGGTCCTGGGAATTGAACTCAAGGCCTCATGCCTTCTAGACAAGTACTCTGCCACTGGGCCACACTCACTTCCAGCCCTCCATCTAATGTCGAGGGGTGGATTTGATCAAAAGCACACTCTTATAATGATACAGAGCGTTCACATCATTCCAGAAAGTTCTGTCATGTTCCACCAGTCCAAACCTGCCTACCCTCCCACCCCCACCATTCTTCTGAAATTTTTTTCTCCATAGATGAGTTTAGTTTTTCTGGAATTTCAAATAAATGGAATTGTGCAATACCCACTCTTTTCTGTGAAGGCTTCATTCACTTAGCAGAATATTTTGGCAATTCATCCGTATGGTTGGATGTATCAGTAATTCCTTATTTTTTAATTGCTGAATTGTATTTCTCTGTATGAATATGCTCCAGTTTGTTTATCCATTCTCCTTTTGATGGACATTTGTGCTGTTCCCAGTTTCTATTATAAACAAAAAGGATGAGTGACTTGAAGTCCCTTAGGACAAATAAGCAAAGCATTATGGGAAACATGAAAGGAAAGAAATATTAGACAGGGACTGGTAACGTTCTTGGAGGATGTGGTGTTTGAGTAGGCTGGCAGAGAGAAGGGTCCTAGCAGAAACAGTAACAGTGTAACCAGAAGTGTGGGTGCATTGGGCCTGATAACCCACAGTGGAATTCACTTGGGTTAGCCTGTATTGGTGCCCAGTAGAAGGGAAGGTGAGGAAAGCAGATTGGGACCCAGCTGATGAGGATCCTGGCTGCTGTGCCAAGCAGTGTGAATTTAGGTTTGTAGCAGAGAGCTGTAGAAGCTTTAGAATTGGTAATATCTTAATCCAACCTCTGCTTTGGAAGAACTTCAGCAGTATTTGAAAAAGTGAATTAGAAGGGAAAGGGAGACTGGCTACTTGGGACCCTATTGCAAGTGTCCGGGGGGGAGATAGTGTGGGCCCCCAGGGTCAGTGGGTGAGGAAAGCTGGATCTGTGACAGGTAGGCATGGAAGGAATAGGAAGGAGTTCAGGGTATCTGGAGGTGCTCACCGTGTTGGTGGAGTATTGGTTGAGTGAGAGGGCAGACCACTGGAGGAGCAAGGGCTCAGGCTTTGAGGAATGAAGAAGGCTGCATCCACCTCCAGGGCTGAGGGCCTGGGCAGCTGGAGACAGAGTTTTATCGAACAAGACATTTTTGTTAATGGCAGGACATCTTCTGCCTTGTTTTGATAGTCTGATAGTATATTATTAGTCATGTGGGGGTACACACACCAGCACTCTTTCCACCTCCTTTTCCTCCCTTCCCCTCACCATTCTTTCTTCCCCTTCCTCTCTCCCTTCATCCCTCCCTCTAGCCTTTCCTCCCTCCCTTCCTTCCATATGTATTGATGTAGATACACAGGTTCCCATTCTTTTCCCAGTAGTTCAGAATTTTTTATTGCCCTTTAATTGTTTTGGTGCTCACACTGTCCTAGATTTGGCCAGTGGGGGCCCTTTCATTCTAGTTCCATGGACTCCGGGGACATGCCCCATCATTTCTTGAAGTGTCTTTTTGGTATTATGAGATATTTCAAATTCATTTTACAGCATCTCAACCCTGGAATGAACCACTTCTTTAAGAACCCTGGTCCCATTTTAGTGGGATGGTAGTAGAAACAAGATCGAACACTTGGTACACTGCTTGCTACTGGGTTCTCACTCCTCTTGGGGGACAGAGCTGTAAGCTATGTGTATGGATATATACCTATAGATACATGTGTGAACAGTCATGTATGTGTACATGTACAAATATGAACATATAAACACATACTTACAGAAATCGCAAGCCCAAACCTGTGTCTCCAGTTCCATCCATCCCACAGGGTTCTCCTTGCCCTCCCGCATTCCAGCTACATCAGCACATTCACTGATTTGCTCAGTACCATATGATGCTCTTTTGTACTTTGGTTTTCCAATTTTTTTTTATTGGAAATCACTTCATCCTCATTCTCACTTCCTTAAGGTCTTCATTCTTTTTTGTAACTGTTGGCACATAATTGATTGTACATACTATAATATATACACCCAGTCTCCTATGCTTAGACATTTAGTCACTTTGCAATATTTTGCAGTTACAAGTTATGCTGTAAAAAATAACATGTACATATGTACTTGCATTTTGTGTTTCTGCATTATTGGAGGTGGATCTTTTCAATTCCTAGAAGCAGGACTACTAAACATATGCAGATGTGGTTTTATTAAGTATTGCCACATTTCCCCAGTCTCTCTCACAGTATATCAGCAAGACTGGATATTTTTGCTAATCTAGTGGGTGAGAAACCATATTATGCATCATGAATGGAAGTGAACATCTTTTCACATATTTAAGAAGTGTCTGTGCTTGTGTGCATGTACATGTAAGAGTGGAGTGAGTTGTTTGTTCATAGCTTTCTCATTTTTCTATGGAGTATTCAGTCTCTTCAGTTTTGAGTTACATATATGTTAGAGACATCAACCCTTTGTCTGTGACATATGTTGCCATTATTTTCTCCTGCTTTGTCATTTGTCTTTTTTACTTTGCTCATTACTGCCATGAAAAAGATTTTTACATTTATGAAGTCAAATTTATGAATTATGAGTCACAGTATTAAAAATTTTTTTTCTAGGGCTGAGAGATTAGCTCAGTGGTAGAGCACTTGCCTAGCATGCATGAGGCCCTGGGCTTGATTAAAAAAAAAAAAAAAAAAAAAAAAAAAAAAAAAAAAAAAAAGAAAAAAAAGAAAAAAAAATCCTCTCCTAAACTTGACTGGAGGAATTAACCCAAGTTTTAGAACTTGTATAGTTAAGTTTTTCATGTCAGCTCTCATGTCTAGATAGCTGACCCCTTGTGCACTTACCCTTCTGCATGGTGTGAAGCATTGGCCTAATCTTTCCCACTTATCCTACCATCAATGGTAAAGAAGTTCATCTTTGCCCCAGTAATGCAAGATACCACCTTTATCATGCATAGATTTCTGCATGCATTTGGGGCTATTTCTAGACTTTGTATTTCATTAAATATTTTTAATGCCAATGTTTCTGAGTTTTCATTAAATATATATGTCTCAGCAGGCCAGGCACGATGGCGCACATCTGTAATCCCAGCAACTTGGCAGGCTGAAGCAGGAACCACAAGTTCAAGACTAGCATCAGCAACTTACTGAGGCCCCAAGCAACTTAATAAGATCCTGTCTCACAATAAAAAAATAAAGGACTAGGGATATGGTTCAGTGGTTATGTGCTCCTGGGTTGAATCCCCAGTACCAAAAATAAATAAATATATGTCCCAGCAGCCACTAGGTTCCAGAATTTACAATCCAGAGGAATTTTTATGCCTCTTCCCCTTTGAAGAAGAAGAGTGAGTCCATGTTGTTTTCTTACTTACCCCTTCTGAGCTTTCTACATTTTCTAAAATCAGCTAAACTTTGATCTGTAGAACACCTTTTTGAAGGCATTATCAGGTTTTCAGCAGTAAACTTTAGCATGAATTTTTAACAGTCCCTCCATTCCCCACAGATATTGCCATTTTCTTCATAGCCCCTCAAGAAAATGGCTATAAAGCAGGGACACATAAAGCCTGGCCAGCCTACAGAGGGCCGTGCGCCTCAGCCTCTCTTCTGCTTCCTGTAGCTTAGAAGAAGAACCAGGGAAGTAATTTTCTCCTCTTCTTCACAGAAGTGCACTGTCAAGTTCAGAGAAGATGCCAGTATGGGAGTAACCTGGAGCAACTGGATGGTGGCGTTGTCGTGGGGAATGCTTTTAAGGACTCACTTCCTAGGGAAGCTGATAGGAGTGTGTTCATCTCCCTTTCTCTCATCCTGTGCCCCTCTCTCTGGTCAAATGGAGTAATTTGCACTTAAACAAACAAAACAAATCGATTTTCTTAATAAAAAAAATCTATTTACAGGACCCATTTAGAAGAGACAGGACTCCCTGCCCGTTTGGACTATTTTATCAAGTTATATTTCAGGAAACATATTTTCTTAAAGAAAATCAGAATATATAATCTGATTTAATTTACTATGTCAAATCCTATAAAGCTTAAAAAATGATGCCAGGTTTAATTATACGTTTAACAAGCCAACCTTTTGGGAGAGAATAGAGTTGCATGAAGGTGAGGTGTTTTGTGACTGTTCCGGTTTCCAGCGGGGTGAGAGCAGGTGGACAGGAAAATTCTTCAGTCCTGCTCTGTCTTCCCACTTGTCCTGAAGGTAAACCTGCTGCCTTCTGGTTTCAGGAAATCAAAACTGTTCTGTTAGGCAGCTCTCCTCTCCTGTTCTACTCTTCTGCTACAGTAGCTTTGCCATTAAGAACAGCTTAGATCTGTGTGTACCTGTGTACAGCGTAGCAGCGCAGAGCTTGCTCCTGACTGACCTTTACCGAGTTCCTGGGATTTTCCCACGCAGGCAGCAGTTGCCGATTGCTGGTTTGTTGTTCAAGGATTCAGTGCTGAGGTATGTTCACGGCTGGTCTTCCTGCTCCTCTTAACACCTTTCATGTTGTCCCACTTTTTGCATTTCAGCTTTTCAGCTACCAGCAGAGTTGGAAAGAGAAATCTGAGTCCTGGTCCAGGAGAAGACAGAGTATCGGGGGAGATTTCAGACTCTGAGCTTGAGCAGACAGATTCCTGTGCAGAGTCCCTCTCAGAGGGAAGAAAAAAGGCCAAGAAATTAAAAAGAATGAAGAAGGAGCTTTCTCCAGCAGGTGTGTGTGGGATCTTGCTGAAACCCCAGGGTTGTGTGCTCCTTAACTGCTCTAGAAACCTGTGATTGGGGAGAAAGGATAGTAAAACTTCACTTGATGCAAAGCCATGTCATCTTCCACTGGATCGGGAATTTTTAGGGGCAATGTATTCTAATATGAGGAACCCTAAAAAGCTCTGGTGAGGTCTCATTAAAGTCCGTTTTGATAACCTCACTTCCCGTGGTTTAGAGATTTTGCTGATGTGTTTAGCGTAGCCTCAGTGTTTAAAATGTGACTTGAATTTGCATAGAGCCTACTCCCACGTGTGTTCTTCAGCAGCAGAGTTTACACTCTCCCCAGCAGAGCCGCAGGCAACCTGGATTTCTCTCATAAGCAGAATTATATAAGAAGCCAGGAAATAGGAAATCGGCACGTGTCAAGAGCCCACTCCGCGCCAGACACTGTAATAGGCGCCTTCTCTCCTCACTTGATTTTCACCACACGGAGGTGAGGAATCATCGTCCCGGGGTTAGTGATACAGATGTCTGCCTGGCTCCGGGTGGTAAGAAGCTCTCAGAAACTGCAGCTGCAAGAAGCAGAGCCCAGGAGAACCAGCCTGCCAGAGCCTCACCCCAGATCCTTTCCACCCCAGACCCGCCAGGGCCACATCTTAACACACTCTGGGGCACACAGACCCTACACAGGCTAAAGGAAGGGCCTGGAGCAGCTTCTTGTCAGCCATTCCCTGCTGCTGAGGGACATGGTCAGGCAGCAGTGACAGGAGCCGCAGACACTGCTTCCTTTGAAATCTGTGAGGTACTCATTGTCCATGTTACAATTAAGAAAACAGAGACCCAAAGGGTATGTGACTTGTCCAAGGTCATGGAGCCCTTGACCTGTCTTGCGGGGACCATGTTGTGTACTCAGGGTAAGAGAGATGTGGCCTAGACACAATTATCATTCTCCTTTGTCTCATGATGACAGTTGCCCCGGTTAGCAGCTCTAACAGTCAAATCAAAGGAAGGCAGAATCAGGCGCTGGAACTTGACGCATACCCACGCTAAGAATTCCCTTTGTTTTAATTAATTCCTTTTTTGCACATGGCCTGATCTGACTGCAGTGAGCTTTCTGAGCCTCATTGATATTAATGAAGTCACAGAAGCAGCAGAAGTATTGCATATTTTTTATACATTAGGCTGAAGCTTAGTTTTAACAGAAAAACTCTTGGTTGAGGCCTCGACTATATATTTTAGCAGTTCCCTTGAACCTGGGCCTCACCCTTTACTTGCCTCCCCTCCTTTCCCTCAAATGAGTTTTGAGAAGCTTTTAATCTATAGCTCTGTGATCTTCAGATTTGGTACCTCGTTACCACTGCCATGCTGTATCAAAAAAGTCATGCATTAAATGGTAGCCTGGCCTTTAGAGACCACCCTGAGCAAGTCTTGCCCTTGTTCCAGTCCTTGGTAGCTCCATTCCTCATGCATTGTTCAGTTTCTCTTTTCTTAGTCACAGCCTTTTGTTTTTTCTTTTTTAATTTTTTTTTAGTTGTAGATGGACAAATACCTTTATTTTGTTTATTAATTTTTTTATGTGGTGATTAGGATCAAACCCAGAACCCCAAACTTGCTAGGCAAGGCTCTACCGCTGAGCCACACCCCAGCTCTAAGCCTTTTGTTTTTCTATAGCACCATAATTTTAAAAATATTAAAATACTCAATAATAGAATGAATTAATAGATTAGTCTCTTTTATAGTTTTTATCATTTTAAGTAAAAACTTTCTATAAGTTATTTAGGGTTTTGAACTTATAATACTGTAATAAAATAGGGTTTTTCCCCCTTCCCATTGACAGTAAAGCTGTCACTCACAAAAGATTTGAGCTTAAAAAAAAATTATAGATTTTGTACATCTTCGTCAGTACTGCTGAAAGGGAAAGAGCAAGGGAGATTGAGCAAGAGAGCTTGGGATGACTGGGTTTTCTTCTGGAGCACCATCCACCCAGAGTGGCCTTTGGACGGTGCAAGTGGACGTTGAGTGGCCCCTCCCTGATTTGTTTTAAGCATCTCTGCAGGACACAGAGGACAGACCTGTGACTCAACCAGGCTTGCTCGCTCAGTTCCTTGACTGGAAGGCCTGTGAGTGGGCACACACTTGTCCCCGGTGAGGTCTTTTTTACTTTTATGTGGTGCTGAGGGTTGAACACAGTGCCTCACACTCTCTAGGCAGTTACGGTACCACTAAGCTATGACCCCAGTCTCCAGTGAGGTCCATGTTACACCTGTAGAGGTATTTGGAGTGTACCAGGGATGGGAGGCCATGCTCAGGAGCTGCACAGAGTGTCTAATGAAAGTGGCCTGAGCCTTGGCTATGAGCTTCAGTACTCAGGGCGCAAGCTGAGGGTCTCAGGTGGCTCACCAGGGTGTTAGGTGTGGAGGACACGAGAGGGAAAGTGAACAGGACCCACCTGTGGGGATTTCTGATTTTCCAAGGAATAAGCAAAGGCAAGGACCATGGAATGTGGTGTGCTGTAGCAATCCTGAGGCAATTCAGCTCAGGAAATGTCACACAAAAGTGTCATATTCTTAGACATTCTGATGTGTAAGCTGCACAGAGTTAGTGACTAGACCCCTTTGCAGATAACAAAATGACCTAAGTAGAGAAATGACCATTTATTGGGTTTATATTATGTGCTAGATAATGTGGTAGAAGCATCCTTTATTATCTTGGGTATCCTTATAAACACACAACAAGGCCTAGAGGTCATTATTGCCCAGGTACAGAGAGGAAAGTGAGGCTCAGAGTATTGCAACTTGCAGAGTCAAACCACCAAGCTCAAACTTGCAGGGCTGTCTGGCTCCAGAGCTCACACCCTGCGTGGCTCTGTGGGGGGTCAGATTTATCCAGATGTAGAGGAGACCAAATCTCTAAATAGGTGAGTACTCCTTGCAGCTCTTCTGCATCACAGACCAGCCAGCCTGGACTTCCACATGATAAAGTTGCCCCGTAAAAGCCCAGATGACCAATTCCTTTTGGGGACTTCTATTAAATATCTATTATATATTTATTATATGCTCAGCAAATACTTTTCTCTCAAATGTGGTTGTTTCAATTGTGTTCTCAAAAAGCAAATGTCAGTGCAGGTCTCCCCCTTGTGTCTATCGTGATGAGTGGTGATTGGTAGTGCCAGCCGCTGTCCCTCTGAGCAGTGTTAGATATGTTCTCTATTGGTATGTAAAGGTGAGGACTGCATGCCATTTATGCTGGAATGAACTGTCTGGGAAATGTGGTCGCTTTCCCAGGTCAAGTTAAATGATGGGTTTCCATAACATGCTTGTTCTGCTATGTTTGGTGTTGCCAGGGCCCAGAGAAACCTCAGCCTCAGTTCTCCCTTTCCTCTCCAGGAAGTCAAAGCCACCATGGTGGGCAGATGCTGCCTGAGCTGACTATTCTCAAAACATGTACGGCAGTCCACTAGCTGGAGGCTCCAGCAGCACCTAGTTAGAGTGTCTACAGAGGTGACCCATAGGAGCACCCACTGACATCCATGGTCATTCCCTGTCTTGCACAGAGACACTGAGCCAGGTCTTTCCTGCACCCCATGCCCCCCCCCCCCCGACTTTGAAACACAGCACATCAGACCTTTACATGTTTGCCAAGAACCATGAGTTCTGTTGGAGTCTTGACTAATCCTGTTAACTTTTCAAGCTTAAACCCTTAGGGTTACAGTATAAAAATTGGGAATCTACTTAGAGTAGCAGTCTTCTCATGCTATTACAGGTCTCATTAAAGTCAAAAATGACATCTACAGTTGTAGCTGACAAGTCATCTGAGAGGCCAGGCTGCAGACATCCAGCTACCTCCAAGGAACCTTTTAATATAGCTATGTTAAAATGTAGTTTCATCCAGGGGCCGTGATGCACACCTGTAATCCCAGGTACTGGGAAGCTAAGGCAGGAGGATCACAAGTTCAAGGACAGCCTGGGCAACTTAGCAAGACTGTATCTCAAAAATGAAACACTAAAAGGGCTGGGGTGGGGGGTGACTCAGTGGTAAAGCACTTGCCTAGCATGTGTGAAGCCCTGGGTTCCATTGCTAGTACCACAAAAAAAAAGTTTTCAGCTTACACATGGCACAGGAGGTGGGTGCTGGGCTTGCAAGACAGCCTGCTGTGTGCAGGTCTGAGTCCTCTGTTCCCCCTGGCAACTTATGAAAGCTTCCCTTCACCGCCTGCCTTCTCAGCTTGGAAAGCCTACCCGTTTCTCCCTCTTGAGCATCTCCTTGTTGAAAACGTGTGTGGCTCCCCAGAGGATCTTCCATAACAAGTGGTTGGACTCACCTGTGGTTTTGCTGAGTGTCCCACTCTACAGTATGTACCCGTGTTTTCCCTGTTAGAAAATCTTGGTCAAATAATCTTAATTTTAATATAACATTTCATATTAAGACACTTAATTTTTTTGTTTGTTTTTTGAGATGGGATCTTGCTACATTGCTCAGGCTGGTCTCTACCTTCGAAGGCTCTAGTGCTTCCCAAGTAGCCTCCCCCAAATCCCTGCTGGCTCCTCTTAAACATCATTCCTAACAGGGTCTGTTTATTAAGATATTTTGTATCTAATAAGAGTCACGGCTTTTAAGGACTGGGGATTGTGGCTCAGTGGGAAACACTTGCCTACCATGCGTGGGGCCCAGGAGTCATCTCCTGCACTGCTGTCAAGTCATCCCTTGCAGGGATGCAGTTGGATGAGTTTGCACGATGTGTATATCATGTGACTGCTGCTGTGCTTGAGATCCAGAGCAGGTCTGTCATTCCAGGAATTCCCCAGTCCCCTGTAGCCAGCCCTTACCTAGACCCCAAGACCTGGCAACACTGGTTGGCGGGCTGCCACATGGTGCTGCCTCCCGAGGAGTCACACAGGAGGCAGCCTTTTCTTCTCTTCCTTCAGCTTCTTTGATTTAGCAGGCGCATCTGAGACCCGTGCTGTAGTGTGCATCGTTACTCCATTCCTGAGTCTGACTCCATCTTAAGGATGCGTTGCTGTTTGCTACCCTTCCCCGGTGGAAAGACATGCAGTTCCTTGCCAGTTTTTTGGCAACTAAGAATTAAGTGCCTCTACTCATCTGCCCACAGGTTTTTGTATGAACTAAGCTTTCATTTCCTTTGGCTAAATACCTAAATACCCAAAAGCGGAATTGCTGGATCACATGGTAACTGTATATTAACTTTGTAAGAAGCTGACACACAGTTTTCCAAGTGGCTGCACCATTTTACCTTTCCACCATCCGGGTAACAGGGTTCAACCACCAGTCCTCAGCACTGCCCTTTTTTGGTTGCTTTTTAGGCATTCTGATGGGCGTGTGATGGCCCCGTGTGCAGCTTTGGTTTGTACTTCCCTAACGACTGACTTAGCATCTTCTTCCATGATGGCCATCCACGTCTCGCGTCTTTGGTGAAATGTCTGTTCAGATCTTTGACCCGTCTTTTCCATTGGGTTGTTTGCTTTCTTCTAACTTTTAAATGTTCTTTATAGATTCTGGATACCAGTTTTCTTGAATGTTTTCCAGATGTTTTCTTCCAGGCTTTTCATTCTTTAACAGTGTCTTTTAAAAAGTATAATTTTAAGTTTCATGTAGTACAGTGTATCAGGGTTTTTCTTAGATTATCCTTTCTGGTGCCAGATCTTTATTGTCCTGGGTAGTCCGTATGGACACACAGTAAGACATTATAACATGCAGAGGTAATTATTCCCCATTCACAGGGAGGGAACTGAGAGGCTCATGGGGTTACGAAGTCAAACCATGAAGCACGCATGTGCAGGGCTGTCTGGCTCCAAAGTTCATTAAATCTGTGCACAACTCTCAGTTGCAAAGATGTTTCCAATGTTTTCTCACAGTAGTTTTCTAGTTTCAGGCTTTATATTTAAATATATGGCCTGTGTTAATCTTGTATATAATGCGCGGTGTGGAGTAAGGTCCACTAATAGTGGGAGGCAGATGCCCTTCAGTATCTGCTAAAAGAAAAACGATTTCTAAATGATTCTTTGCACTCTAAATAAAACAGGGCTATGAAAATGTGATTTCTAGAAAACTGACTGTCGCGCCTCACGCACTAGCTCTGAGATAGATCCCTTGTTAGTCTGTGGCTCTCCTTTTCTGGAAGGTTCTGGAAAGAACACACAGTGACCTTCAGCTCTCTGGTCTGGGTCTCCTTTAGGCAAAGAAAACTAGCCTGTTTTTGACTGCTGGCTGTCAGTTTCCTGGGACACAGCCATGTTAAATGTTGGACCACTTTCTCCACAAGGGGAAGGGACCTAATGTTCATTGAAAACCTACCTTTGGGCTGTGGTTATGGCTCAGCGGCAATGCACTTGCCTCACATGTGTGAGGCAATGGGTTTGATCCTCAGCACCACATATAATAAATGAAATAAAGGTCCATTGACAACTAAAAAATATTTTTTTTAAAAAAGCCTACCTTGGGCTGGGGATGTGGCTCAAGCGGTAGCGCGCTCGCCTGGCATGCGTGCAGCCCGGGTTCGATCCTCAGCACCACATACAAACAAAGATGTTGTGTCCGCCAAAAACTGAAAAATAAATATTAAAAATTCTCTCTCTCTCTCTTTAAAAAAAAAATAAAATAAAAAAGCCTACCTTTAGCTGGGCATGGTGGCACACACCTGTAATCCCAGCAGCTTAGGAGGCTGAGGCAGGAGGACTGCAAGCTCAAAGCCAGCCTTAGCAAAAACGAAGCGCTAAGCAACTCAGCAAGACCCTGTCTCTAAATGAAATACAAAATAAGGCTGGGGGTGTGGCTCGGTGGTTGAGTGTCCTTGGGTTCAATCCCCAGTACCAAAAAGAAAACCCCTTGCTTTGCTGTGTAGCAGCCTTGAGTGACAGGCACGCCGGTCCCTGATGCAGGTGAGGCAGTGAGACTTGTTCAGAGCAGCCCAGCTGGAGCGTGGTTGGGCCCTGGCCTCACTCCAGAACTTTTGCTCCTTCCGTCCTTTCTGACTCGGTCCTCACAGAGTGCCCCCACGGGAGCCATGGCTTGCAGCCATACTCACACACGCCACAACTAACAGCAGGTGCAAATTGTGAGGATTACACTACAGTTGCTTTTAGCAGTTTGTCTTCTTTTTCCTTTTCAGCTGGTTTTAATTTACTTGGGTTCCCCACTTTTGGCTCTGTAGCGCTTACCTCTGAATGGCTACTCAGCTACTGCATTGTTTCTTTGATATGTGAATTTTTAAGATGTGCTTATTGATGTGTCCTCTGGTACCTATGGTGTGTTTAATTGTTCTGACGAGAGGGCGCTTTTTAAAAAATCATCTTTTTCCTTTGCTAACTGGCTTGTGAGTCTTCACATGGATCATCTCTCTGCTCATCTCCACTTCTCAGGAGAAGTCCTGTTGGCTGCATCAGGGGTCCCAGGACACGCACGTTCGCACAGCCGAGAGACCCAAGCCGGGGCACTGCTGGTTGTCCTTCCCGCTCTCCTCATCCAGACTCTCTGGGTCCTACTGCAGTAGTGATGGGGAGAGGGTTCTCGTGGAAGGATTCTCTTCCTGTCATGGCATGCGCTTCGACCTCCTCGTTCTCAGGCCTCTCCATGGTGGACTGCAGCCCCCTCCTGCTTCTTGGGACACTCTGTGTTCAATAGTCTCTCTGCATTTAAGGCACTATCAAAGACGACTCTCCCTTAGGGGAGCATTAACAGCTGGGAGAGAGGCTCTGCTGGTGTTCTCTGCCGCCCTGTTGAATGGTTCAGCCACACGTGGCAGCCCCTGTACAGGGGCCGGGCTTCAGAGCCTGCATGGCCCTGGCCCAGCCCACCTGTTCTGTGCCCTCCTCTGCCCCCACTGCTGATGCAGAAAGTGGCATGATGGGAAAGAAAGGCTCTGACTCAGGGTGAGACTTGGTAACTGAAGAGATCTCTTCAACCCCAGAGGAGGACCTTAGCCAACTCTGTTGACCTTGGAAAGGCTATAGTTGCTCCTGCCGTCTTCGAATCTCTGGACCCCACTGACAGGCTTCCCTCCACCCTGTCCTGCCCCTGAGGTTTCTCCCGCAAGTACCAGCTGCACCACCAAACTGAGAAGCTCAGGCTCCTGGGGCAGCGGCAGGGACCTTGATGCTGAGGAAGGGTGCACACCTCCTCTCAGCCACTTCTCAGCTGTGCGAGAGCGGTCGTGTCCCTGCCCCTGAGTGTGTTCTTGCCTTTGTAACAAGCGGATATCAAACAGTAGCACCGTGGTGGGCTTTTGTGAAGATAACATGAAGAAAGTGCCCAGCGTGGTGCTAGTAAAGAATGCAGTGTGCGTGCACAAGGGAGAGGTGCTTTGCGCATCTGCCCACTGTAAATCTTCTGTAAGACCAGTAAACAGGCGGCCATGCTGGGAGAGCAGAGGGTTCACTGCCCTCCTGTGACTGTGACGTTTCTGTGGCTTTGCCTGTACTTGCTGGGCACTGGGCTCCACAGTCAGGACCCATCTATGCACTTCGCAGCCGTGTGCACTGTACAGTGGCCCCACCTGCTGCCTCGGTGCTCGCCCCCACTTACACTCTTTTCTCTTTCCTACCAGGGACCACTGAAGACAGCCCCGCCAAGCTCTTTGAAGTTCCTGACACGTGGTAACCAAGACCCGAGGGGCACACTGCTGGTGCTGTCCTGAGGAAGAGCGGCGGCTCCTCGAAGCCATGCTGTACTTACCTTAATAAAGCGTGTGTGGGAGGGTCGAAGCCCCGTGTCTCCTGAAAGACCAGCTTTTATCTTTGTGGCCATGTTTCTCCTTTTCCTTTTTTAATCTAAACTAACTGTTGACAACATCACGGTTGTAGGCTGTCACGGATGTGTGCATCGTTAACCAGCTAATCATCTAGTACTCACATGCCACCTTTCCTGGCACAAACTCCACCAGGTGTCCAGGACTCACCTGAGGGAGGTGGCTGTGAGAGAGCTGACCTGCGGGTCCTCTGGTCATGGCCTGGGTTCGGCACTCCTGCTTGGAGAGGTGCTCCTCGGTCCTCTGCTGCCCAGGTGGCAGGGCATTGCAGGTCATGGTCAGCGTCCTGCTGCAGCGAGCGGTTGTGGGCCCCTGCTTCCCCATAGCTGCCTGAACCCAGGAAGCGCTTGGGCCTCTCTTTCTGGCAGAAAGATGCCCGACAGCATTGACCCATGAAGGAGCGTGGGGACTGCCCAACTGCTGTTTTTCCGAAGATCTGAGCCTCTGTTAAGGGGTGTCCAAGTAAAAGGTCATTTCTGTTCTTACATAGTGCTGTGTGCGCTTTGCGGTGTCTTCGCCTGTCTTTCCCGCTTGTATGTCTGTGTTTGGGGTGCGGTGGCCTGTGTGCGGACGTGTGTGAGTGAAATTCATGGCAAATCAACCACATGTAGCAGCCTGTTATGTGAACAGATCGCAGCAGCAGCAAAACACCCTGGATCTCTCTCAGTAGATCTGCTTTCAGTAGATCATTGTTAGATATTTAACATTTTTGTATTGTGGAAATAAAGATAAAGAATGTATTTCCAAAATATAAAATTAAAGAAATTTTCATAAAACCCTGGTAATTTCTGTTTTCCTTGTAGTAGTGAACGCCATATTCTCTCTGTGCATAGATAGATGTGTTCCTTACCTTTGAAGAGATCTGGCCACTGACCCAGGTGTTTAGGATCTTCTTTTTCTTTTTTTATCTCTAACCCCTGCACCTGCTTCTGTGGGTCAGACCGCCCCTGTTGGACCTGAGCCCTGGCGGTCACTGGCCATGGCCTAGGAGGGTGGGAAGAATCCGAGTCTTCCCAACACACGTGGAAGTCCATAGTGTTATGCAGCTTCAGGGGTATAAGATCTGTCCCTGGTGGAAAGCCTCAAACTTCCTTCCTGGCTCGCTCCCTTCCCCTGGAGTTTTGTAGCTACAGAGTTATAAACCAGACCTGGCCACCCCTTTGTCCACCCCTTCCACAGCTGCTGCTCACAGGTCAGTGGGGAAGATGGTGAGTTGAGGAATCTGGGAGAGGCTTATGGAGCAACTGTGTCCTTTAAACTTACAGGTAGGAACAGGTAATGCCCCATGCTTCTCTTTAAAAAGAAAAAGAAGGGCAACTGTCCAAAGACTATGGGTGGCATTTGTATGGAGAGGAGCGTGCCCATTTGGTGCCCTTGTGCTCGGTAGGTCTCACGTGGGAGGGGGCGGAAAGCCCTTGCCCTAAGGTAAGGAAAGTGAGTCACACCCTGAAGCCCACTGAGAGCAGGCACCATGCTCCCTGCTCAGGCTAACCCCTGCCACTCATCTAGAGAGGAGCTTGGCAGTTGGGGGAGTGCTTTCTAGAGAGGCCAGCATTGTTCCTTCTGTCTCTTCCCAGTCAATCCCTCCCACCCCTAGGAGCAACCAACCACAGATGTGCATTTTTTCCCCCACAGATTAACCTTTGCTAGAACTTCATGGAAACAGAACCAGAGAGTCCATACTCACGATGGTAGAAACAGGGGCTGGGGGTGTAGTTTAGTGGGAGAGCCCAGCTTGTCTAGCATGCCCTGGGTTTGAGCCCTAGTGCCCATGCACACCAATAACCCGAGGTGCAGGCCTTTCTCAGCACGCTGTGAGACTCACCATGTGTGCAAGATTCTAGTTCCTCTTCATTTTTGCTTATCCATATGCCACAATTTTATGGGTTTGATGACACATGCTTGTAATCCCAGTGACTCTGGAGGCTGAGGCAGGAGGATCTCAAATTCAAGGTCTGCCTGGGCAATTTAGTGATATCCTATCTCAATAAATTCAAAAGGCTGGGGATGTAGCTCAGTAGTAGAGAATCTCTGGGTTCAGCTCCCAGTACTATACTAAAAAAAGCTGTTATTAATGCTGAACAGCAAGAGGGGCCTCCTCAATCCTGTGGGTGCAGTTCCCACGTGGACAGTTTGAAGCACCTCTCCTGACCTTCTGGAGGAAAACTCTCCGACACTTGGTTGCTGCCAAAGCCGAGCCACCCTCTCCTGGCTCACGAAACCAGTGAGTATTAAAAATAGTTCGATTTTTGGGGGAGAGCTTTGTATTTAATCTCATGACTTAAGTTTCATTACTTCACCTGAAGTCCTTTCCTGCATGGTCCATGGAGTAAACAGTACATCTGATGTTGTCGAGGAGGGGAACAGAATCCCTGAAGGCCAGTTCGTGTCTCTGCCGGTGGTCAGCCACCCTCTGCTGCAGGTTATCTGGTCCCTGTAACAGCGGTTCAGTTTGTCTTCAGCCACTTGTCTGTTTCTGTCAGTTTCTTGCTTTTTCTAGTCATGACGTTGAACTTGAATTTGAGAAAGCTCTTCATGCCGACTGGGCCTGCAAAAAAAGGCTACAGGTTCACCAGCTGAAAGGGTCATTTTAAATGCACGTGTTTTAGATAAGATAACTCTTGTCCAAAAAGAGAGGACGGCAAAAAAAGAGCTCTTTGTTATTTTTATTGGGGGGGGGCACTGATTCACAAGATGAGGAGATCCTCATGCTGATCTTTTTAGAAGTGAGAACATAGGGAAATATTAGACCGGAGAGCGTGAGACCAGGAGCCCTGCCTGGCTGCAAGCGTGGACTTGTGCAGAGGCTGCGAGGAGGGAGTCTGCTTCCATGCCAGGCCCATGCCACTTTTCCCTGGAAACATCTTGCCATGGTTCCAATACCAGCCAGAGAACAGCTGCCAGCCTCTGGGCACTTGCCTCTTCCTGCAGAAGAGGGGCAGGGGACACAGCTCTCCCACCCAGTTGCCCCTGCAGGTGCTCTCAGCCAGCAGTGGGCTCTGTCACTGGCAGGGCTTCATCGGGCAGTGGCCAGCCTGCCCACGACACCCGGACTAGTGCGGCCCCTGCCTGTTTGCGTGGGTGAGGAGGGGAGGCGGGTCTCTACCCAGCTCCCCTGTGTGCTGCGGGCTTCCTTGATCCATGGTGACATCTGGCAAGGGCAGGGTAGAAGGTGTGCTGGGTGCTTCTGCCTCTTCACAAGCCTCCATTTCAAGGTTCCCCGTTGATCTTTTTTTTTTTTTTAAAGAGAGAGGAGAGGGGGAGAGAGAGAGAGAGAGAGAGAGAGAGAGAATTTATTTATTTATTTTTAGTTTTCGGCGGACACAACATCTTTGTTTGTATGTGGTGCTGAGGATCGAACCGGGGCCGCACGCATGCCAGGCGAGCGCGCTACCGCTTGAGCCACATCCCCAGGCCCCCCCCCCCCCCCCTTGATCTTATCTCCCCTGGGTGGGTGGGTGGTCCCCAAGTCCTCGGGTCCCGATTGGCCAGTGGCACAGGAGCCCCGCATTACAGAGCCTCAGAGCCTCGTTCTCTCCTTTTCTATCTGCTCATTCCCTCTGGGGCTCCGTGGCCAGGAGCGTCCTGAAGGAGTTTCCATGCAGGGGCAGCGCCGGCCTCTGGACTCCACGGCTGCGCAGATCTGAGCTGGGGCCTGCCCGCTGTGTGCGCCTCAGGACTCTGCCTGGCCCCAGTCTCCCCATCTGTCACGCACCAGGCCAGCCCCGCCCCAGGAGAGGGCAGGAAGCCCCCACAGGGCGCCAGCGCCTGGATCCCACCTGGGCCTCTTCAGTGGGAGCACCAAGTGATACCTCCTCCTTGAAAACCAGGCCCCTTCTCTCCAGAACTTTCCCTGTTAAAACAAACTCACCCTCTAAGACATAAGTCAACGTTCCTCTCCACTCCACTGTGGTTTTTCTGAAGTAGGAAACTCAAACGGGGGTTTATTCTATTCTAAGCACTTGACACTGTTTTCAAGCACAGGGACCATGATTCCCATTCAAAGATACAACTGAAGCTTGCGCGGGCTCAGTAACTTGCCCTGGAGGTGACGGTCAGTGGCAGAGCTGGAATTCAAACCTCAGGATGTGCAACAACAAGGCCAGGTGCCTAATGACGATTGGACACTGCCATCCATGGGCAGACGTCACAGCGCAGAGGGACAGTGACATGCGGGAGGGAGAAGTGCTGAGCCTGTCCTGTGTGCCTCAGGAGTCAGGGCTCTGGGTTGACACCAGACTCCCCTCTTCTCATTCCCTCCCCTCAGCCCTGGGAACTGAGAGTCACACACACACCTGCAGCCTCCCTCCTCTCCGTGGGCTCAGTCCTGTCCTCAGAGGCTTCCTGGAACCATTTGGGGACAGCGTCATTCTGAAGGCTCCTCATCTGTATTGCCTGATTGCTCTCTAATCCAGACACCTGCCAGAGGGGCTCCAGACCCCGAGATCACTCTCCAAATGCCCACCTCGAAAGCCAACTAATGATTTCAACCGCAGAGAAGTCCCAGTGTTGGTTCACAGAACAGCAGGGTAACTGTAGTTCACCTCAGTTTATTATGTGTCACGTCGGGAACTACGTCCAAAGCTCCCAACAGGAAGGAATGATGAATGTTCATGGACATGGAAATGATAATCACCCTGATCTGATCATCGTATTCATTTATCAAATTATCGCACTGTTCCTCATAAACAGGAATTAAAATCCATTAAAAAATTTTGAAAACAATCACAAGGAAAGCAGTGAAGGCCCCGAACCGTGCAATGACAGACCCCTGCACCTCCACCCTAGGAAGAGGCAGACACAGGGTCTGCGCCCGCATCGCAAAATGCCGCCCTGGGCCAGCGGAATCCGCGCCACTTGAGCACTAGCTGCAATGCACATCCCTGGGCCCCTCTCTGGGGCTGCTGAGCCAGAAACTCCAGGGCTGGGGCCCAGCTGTCTGGGAGTGGCCTCCGG